TTTTGAGACAGGGTCTTGCTCCGTGGCCCAGGCTGAAATGCAGTGGTGCAATCTCAACTCACTGCAAACTCCGCCTCCTGGGCTCAGGTGATTCTCCTATCTCAGCCTCCAGAGTAGCTGTACTACATGCACATACCACCATGCTCAGCTAATTTTTCTATTTTTAGTAGAGACAGGGTTTCACCATGTTGCAATGTATATTATCTCATTCCCCTATTTAGGTTGATAGTCTAAGGAGATTTAGGTCATATCCCATTTTCTATTATAAATAGGAATACATCCTGGCTTTGTGGGACTTGAAGCTTATACAATTTTGTATAATACAATTATACAGAAAAAGAATTAAAAATTATCTTTGTTTCGCAAATAGGACCATGTGAACATATCACAATGGCCCCTCCCCAGACATTGGAAGGGGCCTGTCAAAGTGAGGGGTCCTGAAGGTTAACTTTTTTTGTCCCCCCCAGACAGAGTCTTGGCTCACTGCAACCTCTGCCTCCTGGGTTCAAGTGATTCTTCTGCCTCAGCCTCCCGAGTAGCTGGGATTACAGGTGTATGCCACTATGCCTGGCTAATCTTTTTGTATTTTTAGTAGAGATGGGGTTTCACCATGTTGGCCAGGCTGGTTTCAAACTCCTGACCTCATGATCTGCCGGCCTTGGCCTCCCAAAATGCTAGAATTACAGGTGAGAGCCACTGCGCCCAGCCCCAAAGGTTAACTTTCATTGGTTTCAGTGGTTCACTACCTATAACTACAAATAACCTTATAATAAACATTTGAGCATTTTTTTGGGTCTCCTATTATTTCCCAAGGATTCCCAGTTACTATAACACCATTCACCTTGAAGGAGGTGAGAGTGGAAGGTTCTGATCATTTACTGACCACCTCGTATATATTAAGCAGTTTATATAATTTAATTTAAGCACACTACAAGCCTGAAGGAGTTCTTGGCCCCTGCTTTACAGATGAGAAAACTGAGGTGCAATGCATTTAAATATCTTGCCCAAGGTCGCACATCTAACAACTGGTGGGGTTTGGATCGTAACCCACATCTTATTCCAAAGCTCGTGCTTTCTGCCCTACTTTCTAGTGTTTCTACAGCCTCATGAGCTTCACAGCAACGCATTCTCCAGGCTATTGCTGAAAAATCTGATCTCAGTTTTCTGTTTTGAGGAAACCAGGATACAAAACTGACTTGGTTCTTAGAAGCAGGCCATTTAAATCAACGGTGGATAGACTGTCAGGTGAATTTGAGAGAAAGTGATTTGGCTGTTTCTGTGGTCCATCTGCTTACAAACCTGCAACACCTTGGTTCAGCATGCATTTCTTGGAGGGAACTGGCTGAAGTCAGAGACCTGGATTGGGCTCAGGTCCTGCTATTCACTACTTGAGTGGCCTTGGGTAAGTCATTAACGTCTCAGGTTCTCATTTTCCTCCTCTGTGCAATAAAGTTAATAAGTAAAGAAATCTGCCTTTCCCCAGGGTAGTTTTGAGTGTCAAATATAACATATGTTCAAGTACTAGTGAACTCCAATGTCACTGAGATACTTGTAACGTTATACCCGAGCGAGATTGAATAGAAGAGCCACGCTCTGAGTTTGTTGAGTCCACTTTTAATGCCGGCGTCTGAGAGTCAGCTGGAGCTCAAACCTCTCTGCCACGAATAAAGGGCGGTCAACATTTTTATACCAGTTTAGGGTCAGGGGGTGGTAAGCAGATTATTAGAGAAGCAGAAGGAGCAGGTTAGGGGGAAGGGGGGTGCCTAACAAAAAATTTCTACTTAAAGTTGTTTTTTTATTCAGGATATAGGGTAGCAGTTGCACGGTTGCAAGTACAGGATGCATAGGCCAGTGGACCCTGTTTCTCAGAAAATTGGTTACAAAGATGCCAGGCGCCTCAGACCACAAGCTTTCAGAACAGAATGCCCTACATAGCTCAGGGTGGGCAACATAGCTCAGGGTGGGCAAAATGGAGTTAGCAGGATTGTTTAAAATGTATTTATTACAGTCAAGCTAGGGTATTTCAGTAACTGTGGTAGCAGCTCCACTTTCTTGCCCATCTGCCTCCAGGTAAGGGCGTGTGTCAGCTGGGCAGGATGCATCTGATGGCGCCATTAGGGTTAACTCTTGGAGCGCCTCTGCCCAGACTGACGCCTGGCAGGTGATTTCAGGAGGCGTCTGGGCCATTACTCCTGAATGCCCAGTGCATTGGGAGCCGCAGAGGCTGTGTACCGTCTGAGATTCTGGGGAATCCTTTCCTTCTCAAGCTGATAATTGATCATCAAAGCATGCCAAACATTCGTTATTATATGCAACTTACGAAATCTTAGTTTTGTCCAATTGTCCCTTTCTTCTGTCTTAGGTTTTGACGCATATATCTTGAAATTTTGTCAGTTTAGAAATCTTTAGTGTTGGTCGGGCTTAATTCTGGGGGCAGTTTGTACTTCTGGGAAGGCAGGAGAGAAATAACAATCTCAGTTTTGAATTGGCGTTTTAACATCCTTCACCAGATCCACGTTGAAAGCCAGTGTAACCAGCGTTTAAGAACGCTCCTCCACCCCTCAAAAAAAGGATGCTGAAACCGGTTTCCAACCCCGAAGACGGAGCTGATCTCGCCGCAACGGGATCCGCTGTGGCTCCCCTTGCGTGCACCGCTGCTGGGCCGTCCCAGGTGGCTGGGGGCCCGGACCCGGAGCCCGACCTGACCCTGCCAGTGGCGGCCGCACAAAGACTGGGGCAGACGGCTGCCTGGCCGAGCCGCAGAAAGTAGTCCCGACCACGCCGGCTCCAATGTTGTTCGGTACAGCCTCACGCCCTCCGCGGGGAGGGCCGAAGCGGTCGCTCCGGGAAAGAATCCCGCTGGAATGCGCCGCCGGGAGGAGGCCTTCTCTCGCCAGCTCGCCTCTGCTAGCCCAACACCTCTCCCGGGGTCTTACGCAGAGGCCGAGCGTGCGGTTGCCGACTCCTTTCCCCAGCCGCGCAAGAGGCAGCGCCGGGGGAGGGGGCTCGCCGTGCGCAGGGACACGTCTTTGCTCCGACCCTAGGAGGCTGCGCCGAACGTATCCCTGCGCCGCTGCGCGAGTCAGAGGCTGAATGAGGAGCTGCGCGAGGGAAGCGGGGCGCCGGGGGAGGAGGCGGCGGGATGGAAGCAGACGCTGGCGTCGCGCGAGCCTGGGGCTGAGCGACGCGGTAGAGAGGGCGGCGGCGGCGGCGGCGGCGCGCGCGGAGCCTGGACGTGCCCTTTTCTTTCTTCTCTGCCTGGGAAGCTGGGAAGCATGAGAGTGCAGCCCTGCCGCTGCGGCGGCCGCCCCGGCTCCTTGCCTCCCCGTCTTCTTGCCGCCCCTCGCCGGTGAGAGAAGAGAACGCGAGAAGGGAAGATGGGGGCCGTCCTGAGGAGCCTCCTGGCCTGCAGCTTCTGTGTGCTCCTGAGAGGTGGGAAGTGTGGGGGCACTGGAAAGTTGGTGGGGTTCGGAGGGAGGTGGCCTTGTTTTGTGTGTCTTGGGGGGAGGGGAGGGACAGAGGGAGGGAGAAGGGGAGAGGAGCCGGGAGAGGCCTGGTCGTGGGGAGGGGGAGAGAAAGGGGCCCGGGAGCAGGGGCTGCGCGCACCGCCCGGCCACAATGCGGACCTGGCCTGGCTTCCCAGACCTTCCCGGGACACATCGGAGCCTCGATCCCGACGGCTGGTCTTACGGAACCCCTGGCACCCCATTCTGTTGGGATGACTGAGTGTCTGTGTGCCTCTCTCTGCCTGGGGTCTTTGTACGTATTTTGGCTTTTAAAATGTTTTGAGTCCGAGATGCTTTAAGGTTGGCCTTCTCCCTCGAAGTCCTCCCCCCATCCACCACCCCCCACCCCATTTCGGTGTTTCTTAGGTGAACTTTTAAAGTCCTCTGTTTTTTCCAGGCCTTGTTACAGGTAATAATTGGCTTCCGTTTGGAATATAATGATCCTGGGAGAGAGCGCAGTTGGAAAGTGACTTTTGGGTTATAGGTCGAGCGTTTCAGCATTGGGAACCTTCTGAGCTTCAGCCCATAATAAAATAGAAACACTGCCCTTGTAACCTCTGGTATTCACAGCTTGCCCCTATTTTCGGAGTATGCAAGTGTACAGTTGGCACTAAGTAGGAAATTCATCCTCGTGTGAAGAGGAGCCGGTCCTGGGACCAAAATGATCATTTGTTCTACACTCCTGGGGACTCCTTGGCATTTCGGTAAATTGCATAGGCTATCCTGGATAATTTGCTCTGGGAATCGCCTGAATTCGATGGTACTAGGATGTTTTGAATTGGCTGCAAAGCTGGCACATGCTCTGTGACTTTTGTTTTGTGACAGTTCGCAAAGATTTTTGACTGACCCGTCGTCAGCTCTTCTCAAACTACTTAGTGTTGAACTTGAGATGGCTGTGATGCTGTGGAGCACTTACCAGCAGAGGAATTTAAGTACTGCTTCATGCAGTGGCTTGTAGTTTTGGTTTGTTAAAATTCTCACTGGCATTCATGATAAGTTATTTTCAGGCGTGGGACCGCTGGTCTGGAGATTTTTAGGTATTAACAAGCTAAACTTCTGTTAAGTTCTCCAAAACAGACTAACTAATAGTAACTAATAATGTATGACAGGTGTATATTTTTGTGTGTACTGTGTGCATGTATTTTGGATGAGAATAATTGACTTCTTTTTTTGAGGAGGAGAAATATGTTCTTCAGTTACTCTGTAGTAGTGCAGCATTGTGTTTGCATGTTATACTATACTTGATACTCTAAGCATGTTAGAAACTTTCCCCACATGTAAACCCCAGAAAAGGTAGTGCTCATTAGATTTTTGTGGGAGAAAATTCAATGGAGTGTTATGTACTGGAGAGGCTTAATAAGTATATACTTATTTTATTATGTTATACTCTCTATTGAAAGGGGTTTTGCCATAGCTGTTAGAAACAACTACATTTGACATAAGAATATGTATATATTTTAAGACACAAGGTTAATAGGGTTGACAAATATGAGAACCAGCTGATTGGTTAGAGTCGTGGGGAAACTTACAACTTGGGATGTTTCTGATTGCCTGGTTGTATTTCTTGGAGAAGTGTGTAATGTAAATGCTGTTTGTTTGTTTTAACACCAGCTTTGAGACCAGAAGCTGGGTTTGTTCGTTACTGGAATTCAGATAGGTTGCACTTGTAGTGATATGTTTTGAAATATGGCATTATGTAACGAGACCTGGAAGAGGTAATAGTTGACATTGTCTTACTTCTTTTAGCAGAGTTTTCAGAAGTGGAGCTCCCGTTTTAAATGTGGCAAAATAATGGTGTAAGGTGGTCTGTTAATATGTAACAGTACTGTTCTTAGCTGTGACTACATATAATTTGAAGTAAAACTGTCTTTTGATGTAGAGGATTTTTGTTTATAACTTAGAATTCATTTTTGAGAATGTCATCCTCTGTTATAGTAATGATGTTTAGTCAGCCTTGGGCTCTAAAGAGAAAAATCTGATTGATTTGTTGCATTTAGATCATTTTTTTCCCCACAAATAATTGGATCTTTGACATTGGGTTGGTGTGATATGGGGTATCTGAGAGCTTGGGGGAGACCGTCTGTCCCGTAGCCCTGCTGAATCAATAGCTGAAAGCCAGGGAATACTGTTAGTGCTTCCTCCTTATCTCTGTCATCACATGACGAGATATAAAGGAAAGATTTGGGAATTTCAACACTAAAATCTTGGATTTAAAGCTCAAGTGTCACAACTTCATAACTTTGTGGTTCTGGTCTAGTCCACTTCTCTAGGTCTCAGTTTCTTTACTGGTAAAATGTCGATAATGATACTTGACTAGTTTATAGGATTACTGGGTATTTTAAATGAGAGATATAGTACCTTGCTAATGTTAATTTTGTTATAATATTTGCTTGTTCAGGGACATATCTTCAAATGCTTTCAGGATTTGAGATTTAATTTGTATAACATTCACACTTTTTTTTTTTTTTTAGAGACAAGGTTTTGCTTCACTCAGGCTGGGATGCAGTGGCGTGATCACAGTTCATTGCAGTCTCAAAAGTCTTGTGCTTAAGTGATCCTCCTGCTTCATCCTCCCAAAGCTCTGAACTATAGGCACCTGCCATTATGTCCAAAAGTTTTTGTAGGTATGGGGGTGATGTGAGGGTGTCTTAATATTTGGCCAGGCTGGTCTCCAACTCCTGGCCTCAAGTGATCCTCTCAAAATGCTGGGATTACAGGTGTGAGCCACCATGCTTGGCCAGATTCATAAACTCTTTTTTTATTTTGGTAGGGTCTTGCTGTGTTGCCTAGGCTGGAGTGCAGTGGCATGATCATTGCTCACTGCAGCCTGGACCTCCTGGGCTCAGATGATCCTCCCACCTCAGCTTCCCAAGTAGCTGGGACCACAGTTGTGTGACATAACATCCGGCTAATTTTTAAATTTTTATAGAGCCAGGGTCTCACTATGTTGCCCAGGATGGTCTTGAACTCCTGGGCTCAAGCGATCCTCCCACCTCTGCCTCCCAAAGTTCTGGGATTACAGGTGCAGATTCACACATTCTTAAAAATGAAAGGGATCTTGATCATTTGAGTCTCACCACTTCATTTGTAAGTGGGGAAACTCAAGATTCAGAGATATTGTAACTTAATAAAGATAAGTAAAGATGGGGCAGGGAGTTATTCATTCTTTTAACAAATATGTATGGAATACCATCTGTATATCAGCTTCTGGTACTGGTGGTGAGTAAAACAAACATGGTCCATAATCTGATGAGCCTTACAGTTTAGGTTGCCATCCTTACCATTCTCTTAGTTCTGTCAGGTACTGATTAGAAAAAATAATACCTGGTTTTCTACAGAAAGTATTTTTGATAAGAATACAGGTTTTGGAATACCATTGGTTCATATAATCTGTGAAATACTATTTCTTAGCTTTTTTTTTTTTTTTTTTTTTTT